AGCCCTGCAGCCTGAGAAACACCGCAGGAACTCGCATACTGAAAAGGAATGCATTGCAAACCGCACGTTGCGAACCCTGCAGGCTGAGAAGCACCGCAGGATGTCGCATGCTGAAAAGCACTTGTACTGCAGAGCGCAGGCTGCGAAACCTGCAGGCTGAGAAGCACCGCAGGAACTCGCATGCTTTCGAACACTACTGCTCGAGACCGCAGCTGGAGAGCGGCAGACCGCAGGCTGAGAAGCACCGCGGGCAGAGAGACTTGCAAAACTCAGATGTCCTGATCGTCTTGGAGGAAGTCACGCCAGTCCGGCGGCTGCCAAGAATCGATGATGCGCCTGGAGCCACCGCCCGTGCTGCCGCCGATGTCCAGGTAGTCGCCATCGCCCCTGAACAGACGGCCGTGCCCGCACGCCAGAATCGCTTGGTTGCGGATTTGAAGCAGCGCTCCGCTCTCAAACATCTGCAACACGTCCAGCTGCCTGCGCGTGAAGTTCGGCTTTGCCTGGCCAGCCTGGGCAGACAGATGGAGGGAAAGCCGCTCCCCCTCGTTGTAGCGCGCGATGGCCTCGGCCTTCTGGTGGTGCAGCCGGCGCCGCTGTTGCCGCAGAGCTTCCTCGGGAACTGCTGCATCACGGCCCTCACTGTGATCAGCTTGCAACGCTTGCGTTAACCAATCAACGTCGAAGCGCCCTGAGAAGGCCAGCACCTCCCAGATCTGTTTGGTACCGGCCACACGTTGCAAATGGCGATGCCACCGCTTACGCTTCTGGTCTTTCACAAACTTGGCGACGCTACCCAGACCTGCACCCTTGGCCTGGCCACCTTTTCCCGCAGGCTGAGAAGCACCGTGAGAACCTTTCTTACCGCCTGGCCCTTTGTTCGGACCCTGCGGAACCGCATGGCCCCCTTGTGGCGCAGACTTGCCTTTCGCTTTTCCCTTTTCGATATCCCGTTCCTGAAGCGCACGCTGCTGCCGCGACTGCTCGTACTGGTCGCGAGCTACTCTGACCAATTCCTGGCGCTCAGGCTCCGTGAGAACGTAGCGCATGTCGTCGATGTTCTTGCTCCGCAGAAAGTCATGTCGAAGCTTAAGGACAGAGAGAATGGCTCGGCCAGTCTCCTCCTGAGACGCAAAGGCCGTGTCATATTCCGAGCCAGGCTGAGGAGCGCCAGCTGGATCAGTGTCCGCTGGCTCCGTGGACTTCCTCTTTTTGAAAAGCAAGAGACTGAGATGATGGAGGACTTTCGGATCGTACTCCTCGTCGTACCTGTCGTCCCAAAGCTGCCTCAGCTCCCTGTGCAAGTCGTCCGCGCGATTCTGAACGACATCCTCGACGTAGTCGGGATCACCCGGTGAAGTCGGTGAAAGCGGAGGAGCAGAACTCGGCGACCGATCCCAATGCACAGAAGACTCGCGGTCCGCCTGTACGCTGACGTCGGCGTCGGAGACGTTTTCGACGACAATTTTCCGCCTCTTGCTCTCCCCAGGCTGAATAGCACCAGGGAGAGTGAGCACAACCGCCACCGCATCGTGTGCGTCGTTGCGCATGCCACGATCCGTAAAAGACGCGCCAACGGCAATGGAGCAGAAACGGGCGACTGCTCCGCAGACCGCGACGTGGTCGCCTTTGAGGTCGGCCGGAGTGGCATGGACCTCCCATACCTTCTCGTCGTTCTGCTCGCGCTGGTAAGCCTCCCGCGCCTCCTGGAAAGTGAGGTTGTCGTCGCCGACTACAAGCACAACGACTGCCTCGTTTAGATTCTCAAGAATCTTGGCCAGGCCGTCCAGGTGCAAGCGGAGATGGCGAACTGTCCGCTTTCGAGTCTGGATGCTCGGCGGTTTCTTGCCGCACACGATGTGCATGTTGGCGATCACCACGTGGAACTTGTCATGGCCTGGTTTGTTCACCTCAAAATGTGAAATAACAGCATCAATATCTCGGCCGCTAGGAGGCCTGTAAACTTTGCTGTCTTCGCACAGAGTCAGTTCCGCAGGCTGAGAAGCACCGCGGAACCCCCAGAGAGTCAAGTAGTTGTCGACCTCCAAGAAGCGAATGCCATCACCGAAAGGCTTACTGAGGATCTCTGTCACGTTGATCCCTGCTCGGCGAAAGCCTTCACGGAACGCACCGACCTCGCAGCCACAGACCATATCAGCATCAGCGGTCTCCACTATCTTGGCGCACAACCTTCCGAAGTTAGCGCAGTGAGTGGCCGCCTGCTTACCAGTCATCATGCCCTGCTCGAACCCGAAATTGAACGAGGCGACCGTGAAAGACGCAGGCTGCACAGCGCCAGAACCAGGCGTCTGTCCACCTTCCTCCGCAGGCTGAGAAGCACCGCGAGGCGGCGCAGGCTGAGAAGCACCGCGAGGCGGCGACACTTCGGACGAGCCTCGCGGAGCAGAGGCTGCGGATGAACGTTGGACATGGGGGTACGGCCAGGGGAACGCCATTGCAATCAAAACTCAGTGGACTGCAGTGAATGAATGTAGTGGCCAATTGAATGCAGAGGACTGCAGTGTCACTAGCAAGTCCTGAACCAAACACAGCTGTGGCGGAAGGAATATGAAGCGTCTGGCTATTCAAAATGTTGCCCGGCAATGGAGTTCTGGGAACTCGAAGACCAGGAAGTGGACTAGAGTTGGCTCTGGGCATCCAAAATGTAGCCCAGGAATGGAGTTCTGGGAACTCGAAGAGCACGAAGTGGCTTACAGTTGGCTCCGGGCATCCAAAATGTGGCCCGGGAATGGAGTTCTGGGAAATGGAAGAACACGAAGTGGCCTACAGTTGGCTCCGGGCATCCAGAATGTGGCCCGGGAATGGCGTTCTGGGATGTCGAAGAGCACGAAGTGGCCTACAGTTGCATCCGGCCCCCCAGAATGTGGCCCGGGAATGGCGTTCTGGGATGTCGAAGAGCACGAAGTGGCCTACAGTTGCATCCGGCCCCCCAGAATGTGGCCTGGGAATGGAGTTCTGGGAAGGCGAAGAGCACGAAGTGTGTGACTGTTGGTGAAAAACGAGCCCGGCTCATGCCGCCCGGAAACGCCCCAACACCTGCCCGGACCCCCCTGTGGAGTGATCTGTGAGCTCTTTTGAGACCACTAGAAACCTATCAGTCTTCGCTGTTAGGTAAAAACATGCGCCGACCCCTGCAGCTCCGCACTGCCGACGACCTCTCGCCCAATCGACCACGGTGCCACATCATGGGCCGGCGGAATGAGCGAAGCGATTCATATTCTCATGTCGCACAGCCGCGCACAGTCCGTCCAAAGCGGCCAAGGCGCATTTGCGGAGCGGACTCACTTCCGCGAATTCGCGGAGCGGACTCACTTCCTGCCGATCAAGCGAAACCGCCTCGACAGCAGTAGCTGTGGCTCCGTTTTCGAATCGGATTCTGTTGCTCTCGCCCAGATACCTTCCCATCGCGCATCGTTGCCATCGCTCGCAAACTGCTGGAGGACGCGTCTCCTTGGCATGGGGGCTCAAGATACGAGCCCCGTGCATGGGTGTCGCTCCTCTCCTCCGATTATTCCTCCATGTTCCCCCTGTTAGGGCATGAGGTATGACGGCTGCCCCAGTCCTCACTCTATGTCCACCCGCGTCCCTGATCAGGGCAACTCGCCTTGGCCTGGGCATCGCTTCTGCATGCCAACGCGTGCAAGCGCGCATGCGCAATAGTGTGCGAGCGTCACAGTATGCCTGCACACGTGCAAGCGCGCATGCGCCACATCCTCCCGTTCTTCCTCTCTCACCCCCCCTCCTCCGCCCCGTCCTCCTTCCTCCCCCCGCCGTCCTAAACAAACCCTCAGGGTTCAACAAACTATGAATGCAGTGCCCGCAGTCCCTATAAAAGGGGCCCAGCCAGGCCGTGACGCACGCAGGCATACTGATCCTCCTCAAACATCGCGCGTTCAAACAATGTTCGCCGAACCGCACCAAAAAGCGAGACTACTTGAGGCGATCCACAACGAAGATCACAAAAATTACGGATCAACGGTTTCATCAATTTTTCAAGCATTCGTCAAGCAATCATTCAAGTGTCGCAAACATCACAGACGTGTTATTCCATGTTTGCGAAACAATTCAATATTTTCATCAACTGTTTTGCCAACAGAGAATGAGCGATTTGCTCAACAATTAGCTCCTGCCTGGTTGAGTCAAAGGCGCAGCTCAGTCCTGGGCCTACTTGACGGCTGTCGCGTGGGACTTCCGCGGAGCATGCGTTCACGATTCTGACATCTTGCAGCGCTTGAGCGCATGGAGGGAATTTGCTTCTCAAAAATCGGCTACCCTGGGCGCTCTTCAAGTGGATGGGGGGGATCCTTTACAACAGGCGCCGTCGTCTGACTGACCGACCATCAGCTCGTCATTCAAAGGTGGGCGCCCGCAGTGGAAAAGAATACTTGTACGGACTTAAGAGGAGGGGGCTTGGGACCGGAGGGTGTGTTGCAGCATCGGTTGATGCATCTAGGGCTTCCCTCGGTCTTCTTCTTCTCCTTCTCCTCCTCCTCCTCCTCCTCCTCCTCCTCGTTTTCCTCTCCATGCTCGTCCGGAGAACTCCTCAGACTTTCTTGCAATCTGTCGAAGACCTTCGACGACGCCCTATACTCCTCTTCTGGCCCCCTCTCCTCCTCCACCTGCTCCGCCCTTGGACGCTCGAGGGCCTCCCACCTCCCCCTCCCCACCCCCTGCCTCCTCCTCCTCCTCCTCCTCCTCCTCCTCCTCCTCCTCCTCCTCTCCCTCCTCCTCCTCACCCGCCTTCCTCTCCTCCTCCTCCTCCTCCTCCTCCTCCTCCTCCTCCTCCTCCTCTCCTCCTCCTCCTCCTCCTCCTCCTCCTCCTCCTCCTCCTCTCCTCCTCCTCCTCCTTCTCCTCCTCCTCCCCCTCCCCAACCCCCTCCTAACCCGCCTTCCAGCTGCCTCGACGACCTTGATGCCGATGCCGGCAGCGGGCGCCGACGCCCGCGGCGCTGACGGCGGCGCCAGCCGACGGCCCAGAGGCCGTCTTGCTGTCGAACCGGAGCGCGGCGCTGCTGCGGCTGGGCCTCCCGAGGGAGGCGCTGGCGGATGCGTTGGCGTCTGCCGGGGTCGACGAGGGGTGGCCGCGGCCGCTGGTCGCTCCCAGCGGCAAGGGGCGTCGTCGTTCCCGCCGCCGCGGCCGCCGCGGCCGCGGCCGCTGCGGTGCCCTTCGTGCGGCGGGGGCGGCGAGGCGGGGAGGATGGGAGGATCGGGGATGGGCGGGGGAGGAGGGGGATGTAGGAGGGAGGGCTGCTGCTGCTGCTGCTGAGGAAGAGGTGGAGGAGGAGGAGGAGGAGGAGGAGGAGGAGGAGGAGCAGGAGGAGGAGAAGGAGCCCCAACAACAACAACGCTCCCGCTCGAGACTTCCTCCTTTTTTGCTCAGGGCCGGTGTTTTTGCTCGCTGCCGAAAGCCGACGTCCCAGCAAAACCAGCGCTACCGCTCGAGACCTCCTCCCGTTTTACCTTGTACTGGCGCGCTAATCTTTCTCTCATCGGCGCCGCCCACAGCAACAACAACGCTCCCGCTCAAGACTTCCTGCCTTTTTTACTCAAGGCGGTGCTCCTCCTCTCCGCCGAAAACCGCCGTCGCGACAAAACCAGCGCAACCGCTCGAGACTTCCTCCCGTTTTACGCTGGATATTTATTCTCTTTTGAATTCGCGCCGCTCCCAGCAAGAACAACGCTCCCGCTCGAGGCTTCCTCCCTTTTTACCTAACAGCTTTTGCTGATAGGGTTCTAGTGGGGTCAAAAGAGAGCAGCAGATGACTCCGCAGGGGGGTCGGGGCGGCATCCGGGGAGCTGTGTCCGAACTCGTGTCCGAATGCGCTTTTCGCAAACAGTCACACACACTTCGTGCTCTTCGACCTCCCAGAACTCCATTCCCGGGCCACATTCTGAATGCCTGGAGCCAACTGTAGGCCACTTCGTGCTCTTCGACTTCCCAGAACTCCATTCCCGGGCCACATTTTGAATGCCCGGAGCCAACTGTAGGCCACTTCGTGCTCTTCGATTTCCCAGAACTCCATTCCTGGGCCACATTTTGAATGCCCGGAGCCAACTGTAGGCCACTTCGTGCTCTTCGAGTTCCCAGAACTCCATTCCCGGGCCACATTTTGAATGCCCGGAGCCAACTGTAGGCCATTTCGTGCTCTTCGACTTCCCAGAGCACCATTCCCGGGCTACATTTTGAATGCCCGGAGCCAACCGTAGGCCACTTCGTGTTCTCTTGTTCCCAGAACTTCATTCCTGGGCCACATTTTGAATGCCCGGAGCCAACTGTAGGCCACTTCGTGCTCTTCGAGCTCCCAGAACTTTATTCCCGGGCCACAGTTTGAATGCCCAGAGCCAACTGTAGGCCACTTCGTGCTCTTCGAGCTCCCAGAACTTCATTCCCGGGCCACAATTTGAATGCCCGGAGCCAACTGAGGCTGAGGCAGGCTGCTGCTGAGGCAGGCTGAGGCTGAGGCTGAGGCAGGCTGAGGCTGAGGCAGGCTGAGGCTGAGGCTGAGGTTGAGGCTGAGGCTGAGGCAGGCTGAGGCAGACGCTGAGGCAGGCTGATGCTGAGTCAGGCTGAGGCTGAGGCTAAGGTTGAGGCTGAGGGCAGACTGAGGCTGAGGCTGAAGCAGGCTGAGGCTGAGGCTGTGTGAAGAAGGCTGAGGCTAGAGCTGAGGAAGGGTGTGAGGCCGAGGCTGAAGGCAGACTGAGGCTGAGGCTGAAGCAGGCTGAGGCTGAGGCTGAGGCAGGCTGAGGCTGAGGCTGAGGCAGGCTGAGGCTGAGGCAGGCTGAGGCTGAGGCTGAGGCTGAGGCAGGCTCAGGCTGAGGCAGGCTGAGGCTGAGGCCGAGGCTGCAGGCAGGCTGAGGCTGAGGCTGAAGCAGGCTGAGGCTGAGGCTGAGGCAGGCTGAGGCTGAGGCTGAGGCAGGCTGATGCTGAGGCAGGCTGAGGCTGAGGCTGAGGCTGAGGCAGGCTGATGCTGAGGCAGGCTGAGGCTGAGGCGGAGGCTGAGGCAGGCTGAGGCTGAGGCAGGCTGAGGCTGAGGCCGAGGCTGAAGGCAGACTGAGGCTGAGGCTGAAGCAGGCTGAGGCTGAGGCTGAGGCAGGCTGAGGCTGAGGCTGATGCAGGCTGAGGCTGAGGCAGAGGCAGGCTGAGGCTGAGGCTGAGGCAGGCTGATGCTGAGGCAGTCTGAGGCTGAGGCTGAGGCAGGCTGAGGCCGAGGCTGAGGCAGGCTGAGGCAGACGCTGAGGCAGGCTGATGGGGAGGCAGGCTGAGGCTGAGGCTGAGGCTGAGGCTGATGCAGGCTGAGGCTGAGGCAGGCTGAGGCTGAGGCCGAGGCTGAAGGCAGACTGAGGCTGAGGCTGAGGCTGAAGCAGGGTGAGGCTGAGGCTGAGGCATGCTGAGGCTGAGGCTGAGGCAGGCTGATACTGAGGCAGGCTGAGGCTGAGGCTGTGACTGTGACTGCCGTTGCCACTGCGACTGTCATCGCGAATGCGACTGCGACTGCGAGAACAGGAGAATTCTACAACTGGATTCTCATCTGGATCTTAAGGGGAATGTTTCCATAGATGCTTCTGCACATCGCTGTTAGGTTGCTTTGCCGGGATAATTCCCTCAGGACGGTGCTGTTCCTCGCCGCCGACAGCCCCCGTCCCGACAAAACCATAGCTCCCGCTCGAGACTTCCTCCCTTCTTACTCACGGCGGTGTTCCTCCTCGCCGCCGGCAACCGCCGTCCCAACAAAACCAGCGCTCCCGCTCGAGATGTCGTTTTGATTTACGCTGGACTGGCGCCCTACTCTCTTCAGCATTGGCGCCGTTCCCAACAACAACAACAACAACAACAACAACAACAGTGGCCCTGCTCGAGACTTCCTCCCTTTCTATTCAGGGCTAGGGCCTTACCTCGCCGCCGACAGCCCCCATCCCCACCGATACAATCCTGTCTCTCGATATTTCCTTGTGCTTAACCCTTGGCTGGGGCTCCACTGGCGGTCTCGCATCGGCGCAGCAAGGCGCGGGCATGCGTGTTCGAGGCGGGATATGTTGAAATTGCTCGGAGGAGGTGTTTGCAAGATCTGGGAATGGGAACAACGGACACCTCTGTAGAACGATAATCCCCCCATGATGGGGATGGTTATCATGATGGTCGCATGCTGCGTGTGGAAGCATCTCGCATGAGGGCAACATGAATGTTGTTGTTGTTGTTGTTGCTGTTGCTGCTACTGTTGCTGTTGTTGTTGTTGTTGCTGTTGTTGTTGTTGTTGTTGTTGTTGTTGTAGTTGTTCTTGACTTTGTTGTTGTTATTGTTGTTGAACGCTCATTTCTGAAGAATATTTATTGTTGATTCCCCCCGTCCAGTGCACATTTTTACCTAGCAGCTTTTGCTGATAGGTTTCTAGTGGACTCAAAAGAGAGCAGCAGATGACTCCACAGGGGGGTCGGGGCGGCATCCGGGGAGCTGTGTCCGAACTCGTGTCCGAACTCGTTTTTCGCAAACAGTCACACACTTCGTGCTCTTCGACCTCCCAGAACTCCATTCCCGGGCCACATTCTGAATGCCCGGAGCCAACTGTAGGCCACTTCGTGCTCTTCGACTTCCAGAACTCCATTCCCGGGCCACATTTTGAATGCCCGGAGCCAACTGTAGGCCACTTCGTGCTCTTCGACTTCCCAGAACTCCATTCCCGGGCCACATTTTGAATGCCCGGAGCCAACTGTAGGCCACTTCGTGCTCTTCGAGTTCCCAGATCTCCATTCCCGGGCCACATTTTGAATGCCCGGAGCCAACTGTAGGCCACTTCGTGCTCTTCGAGTGCCCAGAACTCCATTCCCGGGCCACGTTTTGAATGCCCGGAGCCAACTGTAGGCCACTTCGTGCTCTTCGAGTGCTCAGAATTCATTCCCGAGCTACATTTTGAACGCCCGGAGCCAACTGCAGGCCACTTCGTGCTCTTCGAGCTCCCAGAACTCCATTCCCGGGCCACATTTTGATGCTGATGCAGAGGCTGAGAATGGTGATGCTGATGCTGAGGCTGAGGCTGAGGCAGGCAGGCTGAGGCTGATGAGGCTGAGGCAGGCTGAGGCTGAGGCCGAGGCTGAAGGCAGGCTGAGGCAGACGCTGAGGCAGGCTGAGGCAGAGGCAGGCTGAGGCTGAGGCTGAGGCTGAGGCAGGCTGATGCTGAGGCAGGCTGAGGCTGAGGCTGAGGCTGAAGGCAGACTGAGGCTGAGGCAGGCTGAGGCAGACGCTGAGGCAGGCTGATGCTGAGGCAGGCTGAGGCTGAGGCTGAGGCTGAGGCTGAGGCGGATGCAGGCTGATGCTGAGGCAGGCTGAGGCACTGAGGCTGAGGCTGAAGGCAGACTGAGGCTGAGGCTGAAGCAGGCTGAGGCTGAGGCTGAGGCAGGCTGAGGCTGAGGCTGAGGGAGGCTGATGCTGAGGCAGGCTGAGGCTGAGGCTGAGGCTCATGCAGGCTGAGGCTGAGGCAGGCTGAGGCTGAGGGTGAGGTGAGGAGTGAGGATGAGGCAGGCTGGGCAGACGCTGAGCAGGCTGATGCTGGCCGGGTGAGCTGAGGCTGAGGCTGATGCAGGCTGAGGCTGAGGCAGGCTGAGGCTGAGGCCGAGGCTGAAGGCAGGCTGAGGCTGAGGCTGAAGCAGGCTGAGGCTGAGGCAGGCTGAGGCAGGCTGAGGCTGAGGCTGAAGCAGGCTGATACTGAGGCAGGCTGAGGCTGAGGCAGGCTGAGGCACAGAGGCTGATGCTGAAGGCAGACTGAGGATGAGGCTGAAGCAGGCTGCGGCTGAGGCAGGCTGAGGCTGAGGCTGAGGCAGGCTGATACTGAGGCAGGCTGAGGCTGTGACTGCGACTGCCGCTGCCACTGCGACTGTCATCGCGAATGTGACTGCGACTGCGAGAACAGCAAAACTCTACAACTGGATTCTCATCTGAATCTAAGGGGAATGCCTTCCATAGATGCTCTAAACATCGCTGTTTAGGTTGCCTTTGCCGGGATAATTTTTACACGCAGGTTTCCCGGAGTTAGGTTTTCGCTGGCATCTTAACATAATGTGCTCTCGCTGAGGCGCCGGCTTCATTTTCGGGCCCCGCTCGTTC